CAAATGGTTTGTATCGCTAGCACATACTGTAGAATTAAAAACAAACTGCTTGTGTGACATAAATAAAAGGCATTTCTTAATTTCTATTTTATTTTAATTTAACCCAAGTATGTTGTAGCAAATGTTATTTATGTTTGAGAACCACTGAGAGAAGGAAGCCAGGCAGGGTCGTTAGTGGGCATTAGTACTTCTTCTTCTTCAAGTTCCACTCCTATCGGAGATTGGAGATCATTCTGGCAATTATAATTTTATTGGTTACTCGCCTGAATAGTTCAATTGAACTGCATCCAAACCACTCACGGAGATTGCGTAGCCACGAGATTTTACGTCTTCCTACGCTTCTTCTACCTTTGATTTTACCCTGCATTATATTCCTTAGTAGTTCGTACTTTTCACCTCTCATGATGTGCCCCAAGTATTCCAATTTCCTGATCTTTATGGAATTTAAGACTTCGCATTGTTTTCCTAGTTGTTCGAGAACTTGTTCGTTTGTTTTGCGATCCATCCATGATATTTTCAAAATGCGTCGATAACACCACATTTCGAATGCTTCTAGGTTTTTAATGTTGGATTTTTTAAGTGTCCAAGCTTCAACTCCATACAAAAGGGTAGAGAAAATATAACATCGAAGCATTCTTATCCGGAGCGATATATTGATATCGCGATTACAAAAAAGTTTTCTCATTCTATTAAAAGTTGACCGCGCAATTTCAATGCGGCATCTTATTTCTTTTGTCTGATCAGTATCTTCTGTGATCCATGCTCTAAGGTATTTGTACGAAGATATTTGTTCAATTTCTGTATTATCTAGTACTAGCTTAACTTTGATGTTTTGTGCTTTTGTAAATACCATGAACTTGGTTTTCTTCAAATTGATTTTTAGTCCATAATCGTTGCAATATATATTTAGTTGTTCAGCAAGGTGTTGCAGTTCTTCTAGTGTTCCTGCCAAAAGGACGGTGTCGTCAGCATATCTTATGTTATTAAGTGGCTCACCGTTTATTATAAGGCCCTCACTGATCTCGGCAAGCGCTAATTCTGAGATGGCTTCACTGTATAAATTGAATAACAAGGGTGATAAAATACACTCTTGGCGGACCCCACGGCGAATCTGGATATCCTTGGTCAGTTCGTTTTCAACTTTCACTTTTGCTGTTTGATTCCAATAGAGGTTACAGATGATTCTAATGTCTCTACTGTCTATGTTTTTATTCAATTAAATTTCTTTAAGTCGATTATGCTGCACTCTGTCAAATGCCTTCTAAAAATCAATGAAACAGGCATGTACTTCCTGATTAATATCTAAGCATCTCTGCGAAAGAACACTTACTGCAAACAGTGCATCTCGTGTTCCCAGACCTTTCCTAAATCCCATTTGTGTATTACTTATGCCTTCATCTAATTTCTTATGTATTCTATTGTGAATTACTTTTAAAAACAATTTCAAGACATGACTCATTAAGGCTATGGTGCGATGTTCATTGCACTCCTTTGCATTGGCTTTTTTGGGAAGCAGTATGAATGTTGATTGGAGCCATTCTTTAGGTATTATACCTGTTCTATATATGGTATTGAATAGATCCAAAAGAAGATCAATAGATTCAGTATTCACAATTTCAAGTAATTCGATAGGAACTTCATCAGGTCCGGGAGATTTACCATCTTTAGCTTGTTTCATTGCATATTCAATTTCTTCTCGTATAATGTCAGGCCCAGTATCATCCTTAAATTCTTTTGGTGCTTCTGTTCTTTCTTTGTCTTCAAATAGTTGTGCTATATATTGTGTCCATCTCTGCATTTTTTGGTTTATATCTGTTATAAGTGCACCCCTTTCATCTCTTAGTTGCCTAGTTTGAAGTGTTTTTCTCATTCCTGTTAATTCTCTAATTCTTTTATGCATGTTAAAAAAGTCATATTTTTTCTCAATTTCTTCTAGTTCTTGGCACTGCTCATGTAACATTCTCTCCTTAGCTTCTTTTATTCTCTTTTTTATTAATTGATCAGTTTCATTATATTTAATTGGATTTTTTGTTTTGAATGATTTTCTTTCATTCATTAATAGTAGTATTTCTTCAGTCATCCAATCTTTATGTTTTTTATTCTTTGGTTTTAAGTTTTCATTTGCTGTTTTAATTATTGCTGCTTTTATATTTTCCCATTTCTGATCAATGTTATAGCTACTTTTATTCAGTTCTTGGGCATTACGTATATTTTCAGTAAGAGTTTTTACAGTTTGTTCCTTTGTTTGTGGTTCTCTTAATCTCTTAATATCAATTCTACTTTGTGTGGGTTTTTTAACCAGTTTTAATTTGGTTCGTAATGTGACTACTATGGGGTTATGGTCTGAACCGATGTCTGCTCCAGGGTAAGTTTTGGCAGACAGTATAGAATTACGAAATCTTTGTCTAATAAGGACAAAGTCAATTTGATTTCGGATTATTCTATTCGTTGTATCACCGGGAGATTTCCATGTATACAACCTTCTTTTTGGTAGCTTAAAAAGTGTATTAGCTATTACAAATTCTTCCGTCTGGCAAAATTGTATCAAACGGTCACCACGTTCATTTCTATTTCCTAGACCATATTCCCCCACATATCCATCCACTCTTCCCTGGCCAACTTTGGCATTGATGTCGCCCATTACTATTGTAGTGTGATGTTTTTTCATTGATTTTAAGACTTGTTCCAAATCATGGTAAAACAGTTCGATATCGTCTTCATCTTTATCTGCCGTAGGAGCATAAACTTGAATAAAATTTACTATACCTTTTTTAGACTGTAGTTGTATTGATAAGATCCTATCAGAATAAGGAGTAAAACTTATTACAGAGTAATTGACCTTTTTTGCAACTAAGATTATTAGTTGTATTATTTAACATTAGTACTTAAGCTACCCTAAACACAAAAGTTGGATTGAGCTAAGTAGTAAGAAGTGACGTTTATTTTAATACAAGTTTGCAAAGAAGTATGACATCGATGTTGTACATTTAGCCTGTACAGACAAGTCACTTTGAGACAATCTATAGATATATGTTTCACTGTATACCGATTGTGATACACAGTGAAACAATTAAGTATTTAATCTTTAACTTCTATTTTTTTTTCATTTTGTGAATTTTTAGCGGAGTTCGTCCTTAGAATGTTAAAGAAGAGTTAGTGTAACATACTGTTTTGAAAATTTTCCTTTTAATTTAAAAATAAATTTTTTGAATGCCAAAACTTATTTTTTGTTTCACTGTGTACTACTCTCCCCTACATTAATTTCTTATAAATGTAATAAAAAAATATTTGGAATTAGCAACTATGTGAAACAGAAACGAAAAGTAGTTAATATTTTTCCTTCTTATTATAAAAGTGATCACAACATTAAACAATATTTAGAGAGAGTTTTTAAGCCCCTTATTTCAGTAACGTTATACGTTATTTTGCTCATACGCATTAATAGAAAAATAACGGATTACTTTATTCGGATAAGGTATTCCCTTATTTAGGTAAAGGTAAAGATAAGGTTAACGTTATTAAGGGATTACGTGTTTGTAATGTTGTCAACTGCCAGATATCTAAATCATAAAAAACAAAAAAAAAGTCATATGAGCAGCTGTCTTTCCTTGTCTAAGAGCAGAGCCAAAGATAACTAGAATAAAAAATATAGAAAATTTAGTTCAGCATCTTTCTCTTCAATTGTTTCCAACACAAAATGTAGTCTTGGTGCAACAGGTATTATAGGATCAAAAATATTGTGAAGAATTAAGCCTCTTATCAAATTGTAATCTATTACTTCTCTGTGTCTTCATCGTCTATTTTGTTAGATTATAGCAAATTATTCAAATAAAATAAATTATAGAGTATAACTGCCGTTTTATAGGTTACGTTCGTCAAATGTCAATTAACGTTAATCTGTCACAGCTTAATTTCTGAAAGGATTCATCAAAAACTATTTTTATATATTTTAAGTAAAAACGTCATGATAAAAAAGATTCTAACAGCGCAACCTGTGGGAATGAGACGACGGGGTAGACCAAAGCTGAGGTGGATGGATGGTGGTGACACAAGATGCGGAGAAGATCGGATTCGGCAACTGGAAAATTCAAGCAAGGGACAGAACAGAATGGCGTAGAAAGCTTGAGAGGGTCGAGGCCCTCTAAGGGCTGTAGCACCAAGATGATGATGATGAAGTAAAAACGTTATCCCTTATTTATTATTCAAGGCGCATGAAAAGTATAACGTTTTACGTTTAACGTTCATCGAAAAGTAAAAGGCCTAAAAACTCTATATTAAATACACAAAGGAACAATAAAAAGTACTCAATAATATTGCATATTATAATTACAAAATCAAGTAATATTTGGTAATAAAAGCGTAAGGCTAGTAATGCATTAGAAAAAGTACATAATACTCGCAACTCTGTTATGCACATGTTACACACGTATAGTCCTTTAGTTTATATTGGTTAATAATATCTGTAGATGCAGATGCACGTCCCTGAAAATAATACTGCGGGGCCAATGGCTATAAAAGTCAAAAGAATATGATATTTATTGCACGATATTGGAAAATATACCATCACCTATAGTTTATACTATGTAATATGGAGTCATAACTCGAAAACGTACTTCCCCAAAGAACTGAAAATGATTCTACTGTTGCGCAATAATATCTACCTATGTATATAATGTCAATGGACAACCTTCGATCATATTGTGCAATATAAATATTAATCGTGTATGGACTGCTTAGTTATGAGAATTTTTACCACAGCCACGTAGGAATACAAGAAGGTATATTCGATGGCCCCGGTATGGTCCAGAGCCAGTCAACACCGCGATCTCCAATTTGAACGAGCTGATAAATTGCCTCAAGACAGTACTTTCGACGAAGTAATTCATCGTCTGTCATTTTTTTATAATTTGTTTTGTAACCGATAGATCTACAAAGTTCTAGAGCCAAAAAAAATTGCAAAACTTTAAACAATTTCACATTTAAAAAAAATCTGTGCAAAAATGTTTCTGTGGGGCTGGTTTACGGGAATACTGGGATATCTAGGATTATGGAACAAATCCGGAAAACTATTGTTCTTAGGGCTGGATAATGCAGGTAAAACTACTCTTCTACACATGCTCAAGAATGACAAACTGGCACAGCATCCCCCCACGTTGTATCCCACATCAGAAGAGCTTTTCATTGGTAACGTGAGGTTTAATACGTTCGATTTAGGAGGTCACGAGCAAGCTAGGAGAGTTTGGAAGGACTATTTTCCAGCAGTAGATGCCATAGTGTTCCTTGTTGATACCAACGACAGGTAATTTTCATGTATTGTTACATTCGTTTAGAGTAATAATTTTAATAATCTAGACCTTTGAAACATACTTATGTACTTATTAAGTTCAGAATATTTGTATGCCATTTTAAGTACAGAAAGTGTTTTATGAAGTTTTGATTGTAGAAATTTTGCTTTTGTTCTGCTTATTTGATTTTTTAATACTTTCTAGATTTCAAGAAATCCTTTCTGGTTACAGTGAAATTACTTCTAACAATAAAATCTTGCAGTTAAAATGTTGATTAAATTTTATAGATTTCTAAATGAACCTGGCAGTGTTATGTTTGAAAATATTGATAATAATTCAGGGACGCTAAACCATACTGTTTTAAGTGTCTAAAATAAAAGTTTTCAGTAGAGGCAACAAACTGTTTTAGTTAAAAAATAATTAACGAAATAATTCTTAATATTTTTATTATTAAACTTTGGTTGAGGCTGATCCTGATAGTATATCGGAACGGTGTGTTTATTTTTGGCTCTCCAAAATAATTCAAATTAAATGAGAACAAGTTTTCAAAATTTAACTACGCTTTGTGAAGTTATTAGTGATCATCTGTACTCACTTTTGCTAGTCTCTAAGTACAGTTTTACTGTAAATTTCACCGAAAATATATAATTAGTAAGTGTTTAACATCATTGAAAATTTTCATATCCATATTTGCTTGACGATAAACAAAAACATTTAATTACCATTGACCTGTATCTCCGGCCGGTTTTTTTTTTCTGGCGGCGGACAGGTCCGTCTTTAGGAATATTTAAACATCAAAGAATATGTCGCAAATCAATGAAATAAATTTATCAGGCAATTCTCAAATGGATAATCCTACACAAAGAAGTTACTCTACCGCACTAACACTACAAAAATTTCCGTCAAAACAGCAAGCTATCATTTTTAATTCCATTGAAGATGCGAAAATACAAGATTACCTTCTCCCCCTGGGAGAAATCGTCCATCCAAAAAATAGACTATTCTGCTCTAGATTATCAAACAGTAGAATATGTTTATATTTATCATCTGAAAATATCGTAGAAAAATTCATGAATGAAAATAACGGCAACATTGAAGTTAATAACCAGATTATACAAGCTCGACGGTATATAACTCCCTCCGAAAGAATCATTCGCTCTAATGTTTGCCCATCCATTCCTCATGATGTATTAAGTAAAGAACTTGAATCCATGGGGCTTGTTATTCTATCTACAATATCCTTTCTAAAAATTGGTGCACTGTTACCCGAATTTAGCCATATAATGAGCTTTAGGAGACAAATCTTTATCAGCCCAACAGATCTCACAATTGCAGAATCGTTTTTAATTAATTACGATAATACTTCATATAGAATCTTTTTATCAAGCGGCAACCTAACGTGTTACAACTGTAAACAAAATGGGCATACGGCAACTAACTGCAAAAACCCTGTCAATCCAAACCCAAATCCTACTTCTCCAACTACAGCAGAAGAAATCTCAACATGTAGCCCTCCAGAAATATCAACCATCACACCGATATCTACTTCAAGTCAAACAGACACCCCAACTACAGAAAATCAACTAAATATAAAACAAACTGCGAGCGAAACAACTACCTTACAAATGAAAATTGAATCTCCACAGGACAGTTCAAAAATAACTATTGACGATACCTTAAGTCCTTCTCCGCCTCCCAATGATACCACTAATAAACCGAAGTTTACCAGTTTAACAGTCCAGCAGAAATACCATTTAATCCTAAGAAAAAACAAAATAAAGGTAAATCTCTAGAAACATTCATAAACCAGCAGTCACCACCATTTATTTTAAGCTACGTTCAAATGCTAAGATGCAAATCCCACACAACCTAGTATCCGATACAGACAGTGACTGCTCACAAACCAATCATTAAATAAATTTATTTAATAAAATAGAGTTCAATAAATTAATACAGTGGAATATCAACGGCTATTACAATAATTTACCTATGCTACAGATCATTCTTTCAGAACAAAATCCAGATTTTGTATGTTTACAAGAGACCAATTTTAAACAAAATCAAAATATAAACTTAAGAAACTATTTGTGTCACAACCATATAAGATTCACTAAACTCACTACAATCTATAGGAAGAATATATCCAGAGAATCATATTCTTGAAAAAATTAAACAAAATCTGATAGAGATAGAAAATTGTAATAAGGAGGTAATCTTTATTTGGATCCCATCACATAATGGTATTAGAGGTAATGAAGAAGCAGATAAGTGTGCGCGTGAAGCCGTCAACTCAGCTGACCCTATTATTGTGAAATACGTGATAGCTAGTGATATTTCAAGTGTTATCAAATCGCGGATCCTAAGTGAGTGGCAAAACCGGTAGGAATTTTCAGTGTACAATCTTCGGAATATTAAACCGAACATTAAACCATGGAGATGTTTCCCCACTAAAAGAAGGGATCAAGTGACAATAACTCGTCTTAGATTAGGTCATACTAGTGCAACGCACAAGTTCTTAATTACTAAAGAATCCGAACCAAAAGGTGTGCACTTTTCTCCACAGTAAGAATCAATTATGGTATCTCAATAAACTTAGAGAAAGCACTTGGTGTAAATTGTTCATTCACAAATATGTTAAACTACTTAAAAGCTATTAATTTTGTTAATATATAATATATTTAATATTGTAAATCTGATTCTTCCTAATAACCTTCGGGTTGATGTGAATTTGTAAATAAAAAAAAACTTTGGTTCAATTAACACTATTGACATACAAATTTGAAATCTAGTGAAATAAAATAGTTTATACTAAATATGGTAGCATGGTTTGGATATCTTTATTTTTTTGGTAGACAATGGCACATGGGTTTCCTTCATCTCGATTTTCAACTCCTCAAAACTCGCCTTAACGATTCCAGGTTTGATCACTAAAGTTTTAAGCAATGGAACAAAATCCCCGTAACTTTTCTTAATATGAACTTTACCAAAGTTTTTAGATGTTACTCGAATCATAGTAGGTAGCCAAAGATATCTGCAAGTTTTTAGTGTTTATCATGGATTTTGATTAATCGAGTCAAAAAATGTTGTAGTATTCACTACTAAAAACGGATTTTTCTTTCTAACATTAGCAATAATTTCAATGGGGTCTTTTGATATAAGCAGCTTGGAATACTTCTTTGCTTTCTCTATAATAGCAAAATCGCGATCAAACTCGAGAAAGGTATGTCGTTTCACACGAAATGTACGAGTAATTTATGAAAAGAAACCTTTTGCAATCAAAACGAGATACGTAACAAGTATAGCCTGGTTTTTATTTTGGCCAACACAATTATCTGACCAGGGAATTAGCTTTTGCTTATCTGTAGTAGATCCTATTTTGCTACTGGTAAAATACTTGTACAGACAAGAAGCAATCTCGTTAGACCCCTTTTGTCTCAAAGTTTAATTTCAGAAGAGCACGATGCTCCTTCTTTCGTCTTCTAAATGAATACCCATATTAATACAGGCAAGCTGACGGCTGTAAGTAGTAGATTTGTGTATGAGTTAATTTTGGAAGATACGTCTGTTGCTGGAGATCAAATTGAACCATTCAAATATCTGATTTGTTTCCTCTGGATTCTAAGCAATCTTTACTTATTTGTTGTCTTGTCACGTCAGCTTGCCTGTAGTGAGTTTCGAGTTTTTGTTTAACATTAGTTTTTATTTCTACTGTTAGAGCTGTGTCTATTTTTGACTTTAACATCACATAGTCACATGTTGGGTATGTGTCAACTCGTGGGGGCTTACATGAAAGATTAAATTCTGCCAAAATATATCATTAAACCGCTGGCGCTGTCTAGATGCTGGTGTCTCGGCACAGCATAGAATCAGCAAAGTACTTTTCCAAAAATCCTCTGTACAAATTAACTACATTAGGTTCTGTCGGTATATATTTTCGATTTGGAGAGTTCTACCGTAGGTAGCGACTTTCTTGAGCTGGAATTGACAATATATAATCAAAGATCTTTCTTTTATAATCAGGCTACAGTCTTTGTCTTTTTACCTTTCATACTTTAGTCATCACAACCAATTTTCTCGGACAGAATCTGCACACGTCGTCCACTGACACCAAAAGTCTCACATAACGTGTTTTTGCAAACCTGAAAAAATGTGAATTAACTTTTGCATACAGAATACAATTTATTAACTAAAACTTCAAAAGGAAGATACTGAATTTTACATACCTGGACTTCAGACATGCCCCGAATTATTAGAATATATTTGTATGTCCGCTGTTGCCGGCTTTGGGTGCATCATGGTAACTACCATTTCCTTCTTTTTACTAAACAGACTCTAAAGAGGTTTTTTAGATATATTTGTTGTTCACCATAATTCCCCATATCCCAAAAGTCACGGAAAAGCTTTTTATGGCAATCTATTGACAATGACACATACACATAAGAACACATAACTAAAAAATATTAACTCTAATGACCAAATAAATTGTATTTGCTTAAAGTATTAATAAATAAAAACAATTTAAGCAAAAAATATAGCAGAAACCAAAAATATAGCTGTTATTAGTGTTTTTAAATGGTACTTTAATATCACAACAAAAATATTTTTCTATCAGAACTTACCTCCTTTGGCTCCCTTTTTTCACTTACTTCTTTATTTTTGGTATTTATATAACTGTTTTTAGCCTTTTCTAAGGTTTCTTTTTTCATTTCAATGTATTTAAAACACGTTTTTTTGACGCCCCAGTCACACACTCCAGTACTACATCTGCCATTTTGCGTAGACTGATTGCTGATTGTAGCAACTATTTGCAACTGATAAAGCACTTACAACGTTATGACTTTCTCTATCTCAGTATTCAAGGTGGGGGCATCTCAGAGCTTTGGCTTCAAGAGTGCAAGTAAAGGTCGGCACATACAACGGTTTAATCATAAATTGTATTTCAGCTCGAGTGGCACTTATAACGTTATGGTTTGGCATCCCTTAATTCACTCAGTTATTATGTATATAATATGCGAAATAGGCGAAAAGCTTGGGTTCGTTCGGAAAAATATTCCCATGAGATTTTTTATATACTTACTTTACACAAAAGACTAAAATTTAATAATCTATTGCAGCTCAAGATTTGTAGAAACCCAGAAAGAGCTAAACACCCTCCTTTCAGATGCAATTATATCCAACTGTCCAATACTAATCTTAGGTAATAAAATTGATCTCCCAGGTGCTGCTTCAGAGGATGAACTCCGAATTAGATTTGGCCTGTTTGGCCAAACTACAGGCAAAGTAGCTAGAAATGATCTACCTGGTCGGCCTCTAGAACTATTTATGTGCTCTATACGCAAAAGGCAAGGTTATGGAGAGGGATTCCGTTGGTTGGCTCAATATATCGATTAATATGTATTTTTCCATTTTGTTCTTTCCTATGGCACTTAAATAGTTTGACTTTTATGTTCTTTGGTAACAATAATGATTTCTTATTAAAATATAATTTATTTATTTTTCTATGTATTTATTTATTTATTTATTTATACATTTTAAGACGATTGAATTGGAGTGGAATTTTTAAAATCTGGACAGGTTTTAAGATGCTTTTTCAACTTTTGTTGCAAAGAATGTAACCAGGTGTATATTTTTAATGTCCCGCTGATACAAATTTTATTGAACATTGATTTCGCGCTCGTAACTAACAATCAAAATCGACGGTCGCTTCAAGCGTTGTTTATACGAGAACGGTTCATTCTACAAAAGAAAAATGCTTATAAACATTTTTGTATAAAATTATCTCAGCTACATTTTTTATTTGAAACATTTTTTTAGGGTGTACAGATTCTCGATAAATCGATTTTTTGCGTTTTAGGAGGAAGTCCGGGGGTAAAAGTGGTAAACTTTTTTGCATCTTTTTTAGGGTTCCAAAATTAATATTCTCCGCAAAATTCAGGATGTTGGTATGAGTCTTAGGGGTCAACTCTCTAACGACTGGACTAATTCCGGAAACAGATCTTTCTCCGTGTCTATTTTATTATCTACCAAAAATATTCATTTCCTCTTCTCCACTCTATTCGGAATAAACATATTTTGGCCTCATGTTTATTGTTATTTAGCTACCGTAAACCGTTGTTACTTTGCTCCCTCCGGTGTTACTTTGCCCCATTACGAAAAAAAGTTTATTTTAATTACCTACTAGAAATATGCGCGAAATACCCAACGCAAGTACGAGTTAATTCAAGGTTGACAATTTGCCTATAGGTACGGTAATGCCACACCAGCTGTGCTAGGTGCACTCTAGTTCTTTCAACAGCGGAGAGAAAATTCATTGTAATTTTGAAGAAAAAGGACAACATATGGAAGAAAACAGCCCATATTTTCTTTACAAGAAGAAGAAGATTTTGTTCAGTGTATTGTTGCGTTGAGACAGTTTGGCTTTTCTGTAGATTCAACAGAATTGCGTCACATTATTAAAGATTATTTATTTGGACAGATGTGGTAGGGAAGTCAGGATTTTCCAGAATAATTTTCCTGGTCTAGAATGGGCCAAATCGTTTATTAACAGACATCCAGGTATATTTCGACGCTTCGCTGAGAATGTCAAGCGTACGAGAACCGCAGTAAATGAAACAACAATAAGGAGCTACTTTGAAAATTTAACGACCAAATATTAGAGGTGCCTTCAAGGAACATATGGAATTTTGACGAAACAAACCTTACGGATATCCAGTACTCGTGAAGAAAGGTTGCATGCAAGTATCCTGAATTAATTCGAAATGCATCGAAGACATTAATTTCCGATATGTTTGCAGAAAATGCGGCTGGAGAACTGACCAGGTAGACAGAAAATGGACCAAAAGTATGTCGATATAACGCTAATTGTTCTGCGTGGTTTGAGTATACCTACATAGCTTTGGTGATGATATTTACACAGATCTTTGTCTTTTTTATAACCTTTTAATTTTAGGTACTAATAATGCCATGTGCGAAAGAGAAAAGAACTAATTCTAATAAGTGCTTATGTAGCAACTCATACCACAAACAATTCGAAGTGTTGACCACATTGGCAATATAATAAATAAGATAAATGTCAAATCAACTTCTGCTAGCTCATTGACACAATCCACCTCAAATGTAGCACAGTTAGAAACTATACAATTACACAGAACAAAGTGTTCTGCTTTAATCAAGGAGGTAATAGCTCCATCCCTAATGTTTGAACTTATTAAAGATTTGGGGGATTCTCCATTTTCTATAATAATTGTTGATGAATCGACAGATGTTTCTACTGAAATACTATTTACTGAAATACTATTTACAGAACAAAAATGAAATTATAACACAATTTCTTACGTTTATTGCTGTAAAACAAGCAACAACAGAAAATTTATTTACACGTATTTTTGACTTTTTTAAAAGTATTAACTGCAATTTGAACAGACTTATTGGTATTGGTACGATGGTGCTAATAGTTTGTGTAGAACACATCATTTAGTGAATCGTATTTGCCATAAATGCCACAACTTACATTTGTGTGCTTCCAAAGCCTCAGAAGTTTTTAATATAATTATTTCTCGTCACGATTACGAATACGATAAAAAATAATTATTATATTTCAATAAATGGTAAGATAAACTATTATGTTTTGATTACATTCGAACCCCCGCAGAGGTTTTCAAAAATTGCCGTAGCGCACGGTATTTCACGTGCACATGGCGGGGTATTGGTTAAAGTTTTCAACTAGCAATAATCGCACCTCGGATAAACCTCATTGGTTACGATATCGCCACTGCGCAAAGCTAACGTTCCCCTAACTGTCCTTGAGGTGTCTAGGCAATTGAGAATAATACGAATGCAACACGCAACTAGCACCAGCTTGAATCGATTAATACAACTATAATAAGAGAAAACCACTGCGTTAAGCTTTGACACACTGATTAACAGATGGCGGTGCTGACATAATAAATATATTAGAAGATAAATATTTAGTAATATAAATAAAATATATAATATGTATATATATATATATATATATATATATATATATATATATATATATATATATATATATATATACATATATAATAAATTATTCAACTAGTGAATTCAGAGGTTTATTCGGTCATTCAGGTTGGCAAGATAAAAAACAGAAGTCAACTACTTCATAAGTTTATAGAAGACGTTTCGCTTTATAGGTACTTCTAAAGCTTGATCAGTTCTCTAAAATACAAAGATGACATAGAGTTTATAAGAAATACAGATCTAATAATTTATTACTTACAACTCAATATGTAGTACCTATTAAAGATGTTATTGTATATGTACGTAAGTTTACTCATAAATTTAGAACGAACTTAAAAAAAAAAATTAAACAGAAACAAAGGACACAAAAACTTTGCAAAAAATAATATTCGCAGAAACGAAGATTTACAAAAATTTTAACCGTAAATTTGGCTTCATTTAGAGATGGTTCTCCAATGAAGACAAACAAAACACTGATTTATTGCAATCTATGCAAAACGACGTGACGCGATACCGGAAGTTTTTGAGGGCCATATACAATCAATCATATATTTATGCCCCCTGGAGTTTTCAAATGTATATTTATACTGTAGCGTATGGTCGAAAAATGTATTATTGATTCTGAGTTCGTTAAAAGCACAGAGATTAGCCATAAGTTCTCCATTTGCGTTGACATGGTTTTCATTAAATCTTTGTTTTACTACTGAAACTATTTAATTTCCGATTCGTGCATTAAAATCACCTATAAGAATTAAGGGCTCTTTATGAGGTACTTCATCCAGGATGGTTTGCAATTGTTCGTAGAATGCCTCTCGTTCCTCCTTAGGTTTGCAGTCCTCGTGGCTATATACCTGGATATGACATTTAATTTTTGGTAGTCCATTGTGATGTTCATATGTATTATTCTTTCGGAGATATAATGGCAGTTATTTATGTTTATGTCTTTAAATTTTTTATGGACAAGTATACCTACGCCTGCTCGTGCTCGTTCTTCTTTCTTCACTCCACTGTATGCTAGGAAATATTGGTTATGTATGCTAGGAAATCTATCTCAAGGAACCAATTTTATAAATGCATACGATTTGTGAAATTGGTTCCATGAGATAGATTTAATAAAATTGTTATCAAGCTATATCGTCCCCTTAGTACTAGAGATAACTCGAAATTCATAGTTTTAAGCTAATCCGCTTTAAAGATTGAAAACGCAAAAAATTACACTTGGTAAATAATCAAAAATGTTTATTATTCATATAGATATGTTGCATATCGAACTATAATTTTTTAATTTAGGAGACAAGTTCTATGCCTTTACAGAATTTGATTAAAAACTTAAGATATTTAGTTCTGTTGATATAGCAGAATGCATGGAATCGCATTCCATCTCACTATGACGAACGACAAGAAATTTTAGATCGATATTTTCCAAATGTGGAATATTTTCAGGTAATGATTTAAAATAACTATAAAGATAACTAGCTATTTCACAACTCCCACGTTTACCTTCAACATTACTCCACATTTAACAGTCTCCTTGCTTAGAAACAACATTGTAAATAGTAAAATTGAATTATTTTAAACGCTGTTTATAAAATAAGGCATTGTTCGATGGATCATTAGGAACCATGAGGACTTGCTGGAGATCAAAATTGCAACATAAAAAATTGTTGTTGGAGGTTTCAGCCAATTTCTTGTCAGACCTTTTTTCCTTCCGGGCCCTATCTTTCGCAGCATGGTGAGGATTTCAGTTTTAATGCTACTAGGTATATATTATAACTCATACATATATGGTACTGGTCCTTTCTATTAAGATCGGACGCTAAATAAGTTCTTTGAGTTTTTGCACGACAATAATGCGAAGCTACTACGGGGAATCTTTCAATATGGTTTCTAGCACCTTGTAAAATTTCAGGAGGGGTGGTTTTCTTTGCACTTTTGCCTTTTTGATCCGCTGCAGTAATGTTTTCTTCCATTCGATGGTGCATTGCAATACCTACTACTCCTTTTCCTATATCCAATGTATTTATAAATATAGTGTTACAAACTTGTGTTTTTCCTTGACTGGTAGGCAAAAAAAATAAAATCGTTTATTGGCGTTTGAAATTCTGTGTGGTTGTTAATTTTTTTGGAATTTTTTCTGTGTTACTGTATATAAAATTTCTTTTTCGTTCAAATGATGCAGGCCGATAGTACGTTTGAAAACTCTTGAGTCGGGCATCGTTGGTTAATTTGTCATTGCATTTTCTCTTACATGTTGTACTACACGGATTCTTACACACCCATACACGGATTCTTCATTGAAACCCCTGGGATATAATTTCCTCTACTAGAAACGTAACTTTCTCCATGCTGTCTTCTTTTTTTTGCAATATTTTTTCTCCAGATAATCTGATTCCTTTTTCTTGATTTTTTTTGTTGTAACAGGAAGTTCTTTCATACCCTCGAGCTACGTATCTGCTTCATTAGCTACTTGTTCTTCAGATGTTTCACTTGAAGAACTTGGAGCATATTCTGAATGATCGGGTGAAAATGGTTCAATATCAGACTCCAACTTATCTAATAAAGCTGAACGTGGAGTGCTGGAACCGTCCGTATTGCCATGTGAAATAATGAATTATGTTGAAGAGAGCACTAGCAGTTAATTTGCAAGTAAACCCACTGTTTAGTTAGAAAAATTCTTACCTGTGACATTATTTTTCATATTTTCTCCTGAGTTTGGCATCTTTATGGATGAAACAGGAGCTGCAATAATAAAAAGGCTTAGACACTGTCTCTAAATACGCGTTCCAGTGCTTTAATAATAAATAAATAGAAAAACACAGATTTAAAGCAAAAAAAAAACATTAGTATTTTAATAATTTTCAAGTACTAAAGAACTTTTAATCCCTATCGATTATAAAGCCCTCCTCTAATTTCTAGTAATTCGAAGTGCTACTGTTCTTGCCATTATCGCAGTATCGTCAGCATATCTTAATGTTATTGATAACTTTTCAATTGACTATTATCCCTTCGTTTGCATGTGAGAGAGCTTCTTGGCATATTTGTTCGCTGTAGATATTAAACAAGAGCGGTGACAATGACAATATACAACCCGATTTCGTCCAATGTTTGGTCTTCTATTTTTATATTAGTTTGCTGATTCCAGTACAGATTTAATATTATTTGTATGTCTCTGGTGTCGATGTTCTTACCTTCCAGGATTTCTTTGAGTTGATTGTGGCGTACTTTGTCAAAGGCCTTTTCAAAGTCTATAAAGCAGGCATGTATAAAAAAAATACCTCTTGGTTTACATCTAGACATCTCTGTGTTAGGACATTTAAGGCAAAGAGAGCTTCTCTTGTACCTAATCCTTTTCCCATCTGTGTATCGTTAATATCGATTTCTAACTTTTGATAGATTTGGTTATGGATGACTCTAAGAAATATTTTAAGCAGGTGACTCATCAAGGAGATTGTTCGATGATCTGAACATTGCATTGCCTTAGTTTTCTTCGGTATGGCGACAAACGTAGACAGCAATCATTCTTGAGGTATTATACCAGTACTGTATATTGAATTGAATAGATGTAATATTATGGTTACGGATTTATCATTTAAAAGCTTCAACAGTTCTAAAGGAATTTCATCAGGTTTATTTGCTTTTTCATTTTTAGCGATTCTTATTGCATATTCTACTACTTCTTTCAATATGTCTGGCCCAGTTGCATTGATTATCTGAGTTGAGTTGTTTCTATCGTCTTCAAATAATTCATTCAGGTTTTCTGTCCATCTTTTTATTTTATTCTGTAGATCTACAATAAGATTTCCATCTTTGTCTTTAAGTTTACCTATTTGACATTTCTTTATGTTTCTCGTTATCTCTTTTACTTTTTTGTGCATATTGAACGCATCGTACTTTTTTTCATAGGTTTCCATTTCCTCACTGTTCTTTAATCCACTCCTCTTTGGCTTCTTTTATTCTCTTTTTTAAGTGTTTATTTATTTCTTTGTATTTGTCTGGGAAATTCTTCATCTTTCTTCTTTGTTCCATCAAGTCTAGTATATCTTGTGTCATCCACCCCTTATTCCTTGTTGTTGTCTTTGTAAGATGTTTCTTTCCTGCTGTTTGTATAGCTGTATTTATGTACTTAAATTTTTGGTTAACGTTATTTGTATCGTTAATTTGTTGCTGCACTGAATGGAGGTTTTCAGTTATTTCTTCTCCTGTTTCTTGTCGTATATTTTTGTTTCTAAGTTTATTTAAATATAGTGCCTTTCTGTGTGGTCTTCTAATCTTTTTTGGGCTCGCCTCTATCACAGTAACTACCGAGTTATGATCTGAGCCTATATCAGCTCCTGGGTACGTCTTAGTACACTTAACAGCATTACGATACCTCCTTGCTATCATAATGTAGTCTATTTGATTTCTCACTATTTTTTCTTTGGTATGTTGTGGAGATGTCCTTGAATATAACCGTCGAGGAGGTAATTGAAAAGGTATTTGTTATTACGAAGTCTTCACTTTGGCAAAATTGAATCAATCGATCTCCTCTGTCATTTCTGTTTCCAAGCCCATAGTTTTCTACTTGTTCTCTTAACTTACCTTGACCCACCTTGGCATTAAGATATATAGTAATATAGAAAGTATAGCGATAATGCTAATTCCAAACACTTAGGTGATGCACTACTTTTTAACACCATTGTATATACTAAACAAAAGATATGTAAATTGTACAACGTAAGTAGGTTATAGAAACAAATAGAAAAGCAGAAAAAAAAACTGCCTAATTATGTAAGATAAATGCAATATCAAAAAGTATTGTAAAAAATCAATAATTACAAATGGAGCCAGCGTTTTAGTAATTAACAATCAAAAGACTGATATTTTTTTGTACACACTTATGACAAGTCGAAAGAAAATGCAAAAAAGTATTTTTGAAGTGTGTATATTTTAGGCAATTCCTAGCTGAGCGCTTTCGGCTTTACAAAGCCATCATCAGAGCTATGGTCAATTTTTTTAAATACCACTACAAAGGAGAGATCTCATTTCCTTAAATTTCAAAATTATGATTTTGTAGGAGTTGGAATTCTTAAAACATATAAAACATATAAAAAGCCGACACTGGACTTCACAAACACGTTAAAAAATTGAAAAAATTTTTGTCATGGTACGGGTTTAAGACCCGACCATTGATTGATGTGAGGACGTAGACTGATTCAGTCTACGTCCTCACATCAATCAATGGTCGGGTCTTAAACCCGTACCATGACAAAAATTTTTTCAATTTTTTAACGTGTTTGTGAAGTCCAGTGTCGGCTTTTTATATGTTTTAAGAATTCCAACTCCTACAAAATCATAATTTTAAAATTTAAGGAAATGAGATCTCTCCTTTGTAGTGGTATTTAAAAAAAAAAAAATTGACCATAGCTCTGATGATGGCTTTGTAAAGCCGAAAGCGCTCAGCTAGGAATTGCCTAAAATATACACACTTCAAAAATACTTTTTTGCATTTTCTTTCGACCTGTTTTAGTAATTGATGAACAGGAAGCCCATACAGCGACAAATTTTAAGATCTTTTAAAAATAGAAATTAATGCCACACGTATATTGCTAATTTTTTATCGCAGACAATATTTCATTGTTTTTTGAATGACATTATACAGACTTTTTACATAATAGACAAAGATCTGAAGAATATGCCTCTGGTAAAACATGTTCAACATGTTTCTCTTTTATTTTGCTTTCACTATTTGTGCTACAATGCTCACAGCCTAAACTTGGTATTGTCGCTGATACTTCTTTGGATTTTGTAGAGGGATTTGCCATTGTTTCTTGGTTCCGTTTGGATATAGGGTTTGGTTTTTCTTTGGAATTGTGGTCACTCTTTGTGCCACAGTGTTGACAGTTTAAAACTGGCATTTCTGTTAATTTTTCTTTAGATTTTGTAGAGGAATTAGCTACAGGTTCTTCATTCCAATGAATTAACTTGTCGTTTAATTTGTGATCACTCTTTGTGCCGCCACAATATTCACAGTCTAAACTTGGTATTATTTCTGAAACTTCTTTGGATTTTGTAGAGGGATTTGACATTGTTTTTTGATTTTGATTGGATGTTGGATTTAACTTATCTTTAGATTTGTGCTCACTTTTTATACCACCGCAATATTCACATTCTAAACTTGGTATTATTTCTAAAACTTCTTTGGATTTTGTAGAGGGATTTGACATTGTTTTTTGCTTTTGATTGGATGTTGGATTTAACTTATCTTTAGATTTGTGCTCACTTTTTATACCACCGCAATATTCACATTCTAAACTTGGTATTATTTCTGAAACTTCTTTGGATTTTGTGGAGGGATTTGACATTGTTTTTTTCTTTTGATTGGATGTTGGATTTAACTTATCTTTAGATTTGTGCTCACTTTTTATACCACCGCAATATTCACAGTCTAAACTTGGTGATAAAGTTGATACTCCTTTGGAATTTGTGGAAGGATTTGCCATAATTTCTTTATTCTTTTTGGATGTCGGATTAGACTTATCACTTTGTGATTTGTGGTTACTTTTTACACCGCCACAATGTTCACAGCCTAAACTTGATGCTGATTTGGATTTTGTAGAGGGATTTGACACTTTGTCTTCATTCCGATTTAATTTTGATTTTGTCTTGCCTTTTAATTTGTGTTCACTCTTTGTACCGCCACAATATTCACAATCTAAACTTGGCATTAAAGCTGATATTTCTTTGGATTTAGTAGAGGGATTTACCATTGTTCCTTGATTCCGTTTAGACACTGGATTTGACTTAAGCTTGGGTTTATGTTCACTGTTTATGCCACAGTATTCACAGTCTATAATTGGCATATCTGCAGATATGTCTTTGGATTTTGTAGAGGGATTTGCCATTTTTTCGTCATTCCGTTTAAAAAATGATTTTAACTTGTCTTTTAAGGAGTACTCATTGTTGATACCACAATATTCACAGCCTGAACTTGGTGGTGTCGCTAATGTTTCTTTGGTTTTGGTAGACGGATTTACCATTGTTCCCTGATTTCGTTTAGATTTTGGATTTAACATACATTGGCTGCATTGTGTATAGTCCTGCAGAATACTAGTTTGAGTACTCCGCGTATTTGAGTAAGGTAAATGGGTATTGCAACCACAATCTTGCACAAAACAAGTATCATTAGCCTCACATGCTCGACTGACGGTGTAGGTATCTTGGGTGTACGAATTTTGATGTGTATTCGGAGACCAATACATATGATCGATGCATTGTATACCATTATGATAGTTCCTATTGTTAAAACTTTCACATACTGCATTTTGTGAAAAATAATGGTCTGGATCGTTTAAACCATTCCTCTTTACCTCATACTTCATATTATGTCCGTTATAGTTTTGATATGCTCTCATATTTTCGTTTAAAGGCTGCTGACAAGTAGGACATCCATACGTTTCTTGGTGTGAAGGATCAGAAATCATATTACCCATTTGTGATTGGTACTGTGTTGGATTGAAAACTCTGTACCAGTTTGGAGATACTTGTTGCACATAGTTTCCACCCTGTTGGCAATAAGGACAAAATAATCTAACTGTAGGTAATCCGTTATTATTTGGCTGTTCCTCATAACAGCACATTTTTTTAGATTTATTTGCTAGGGTAACAGACATTGTAATTTTGGACCAAAATTTTATTAAACTACTTTAAATGATTTAAGCTTATTTTATTTTGACATATCTGACAGTTGCTTCTTTTTTTTGGAAAAATTGGATAATGTGTTAATAGAAACATACAGCACGGATTTCTACAGTTATTTTTCTTCTTCTTCTTTTTTTCGTTTTATGGCCTCCACCTCTTAGGTACGTGGCCAGCTCATGTATATATTTTTATTTCAATTATAGAAGGGAATTCTCCTCACAGAGATTCTGGAAATAACCATATTCCCTTCAACTATTTAGGACAATTTATAGTGGATATTCTAAAATAATTCTATATGTCATTAACGATTTTTCTTGTTCCATCTATTAAGCTATGTAAGGTATTGGCAATTCGTCATAAGCATTACGCCCTCTAGCGGCTATTGCAATAACCGAGTTAAGAGCCATTATTTATTTTTTTTCACGTTGAAGGCATATTGTGTTTTGGTGTCATTGGAGATTATAATAATAATAATAAAGGTTTTTATTTTTCCTTCAAATTCATACAATACACAAAATATATAAAATTATATGCATATAATACAATAAGAGAGAAAAAATGCCGAAGATCAGGTGGTGGTGCTGATTTCAAGAAATCAGTACCTCTGCTTTTCATCTTAACCAAGAGAAAAAAAATGTAATATATTTTTTTACATGTTCTGTAACAATCAAAAAAAAAACCATAACTAATAGAAACATTTAGCATTTAAATATTGTCCAAGAACTATCACACAGTTTATACATATTTCATAACAGGTCATCAAATAGTTGCACTTAGCAATTTAGATTAAGAGATTTCTTAAAAGATATAATCGATTTTAATTTTGTTTATTTAATTGATAATGTATGTACTTTTGTACATATGATAGAGTATGTATTTTTACTTTCTAGTCCAGAATAGCACTCTTTCCTCAAAAGATGCAGTTGTGCACGTGAACACTCCAAATGTGCTTACATTGTATGAAATGGTTAATGACATTAAATTAAAAAACTGTACTTGTGTACATAACTTCACTATTTATAACTGTATAGTAAATATGACTGAAAATTATATTAAGGACAAACGAGTTCATAGGTAAACATTCGACAGCGGATAATGTTAGTTCTTACAAAGTTTAAGTTAAATTTGACTTATGCCACTTTGGGTTCTTTGTTTGGTATAACAGCTGACTTAACAAAAACTTATATTTATAAATTAATACCTATCTTGAGCCACAACTTACAGCCTTTGGTGTATTTTCCCACCAAAGGAGAAATTTTTAAAAACATGTCACTTTGTTTTGCTGATTTTCAAAATGTTAGGCTAATTTTGGACTGTACTGACATTTATGTACAGACTCCAAGTGTTTGTGTTGCCGAATACTATTTTATTCTCAATATAAATCCCATTTAACAATTAGTTTATGATTGGTGTTTCACCTGGTGGGTTAATAACTTACGTCAGTGAATTTTCCAGTCAAAATAAGATAACCGAGTTTAAAACTTGTTCTCCTTCTACAGCACATCTTGAGTTTTTAGTACCACCCAAAAACTTACATATATTCTAAGATATTTAACTTAAGGATTAAAAAATAGAACTTTTCACAAAAGCCTTTACTTTATTACAATTTATGTAGTTTTCCAGCGTCTGATTTTCAATGTAATTCTTAATTGATTCTCTTCTTTTTAATATCAATTGCTCACATTCATCATCCCACCATGGTACACTCTTACTATTCGGCTTGTACATATGATATGGAATATTTTCTTGTGCGCTTGAATTGATTATTTCATACCATTCATTATATCCTACATCATGTAGAACATGCATTTTCTTTTCAATAGTATCTGCATATCTAGACCATTCTGCTTTTTTAAAATTACGTTTTCTACATGGCGGTGGACTTGTAGAAGTCTGGATTTGATTGTATTCACATACTGTTGGAAAATGATCACTACGTCCAGTGTCAGAATATACCCACCAATGACACTTGGTAGCAATATTTTGACTGACAATGGTTAGATCTACTGCTGATGGGTTTTGAGCAGGCAATACCATTCTAGTAGGGGTTCCATCATTTATTATTACCAATTGATCTTCCTGTAAGGATTCCTTTATTATGTTTCCATTATGATCACTAATAGCACAGCCCCATAATGGATCATGAGCATTTAAATCCCCCATAATTATAACGGGTGTACCAATATTTTGGATTATATTATTCCATAATGTTTTTGTGATTTTTTTACCAGAAGGATTATAAATATTAATGACATTTAGTTTAAATTTTGTCAATCTTGTACCTATTACTTGAAGATTTTCTCCACTACCAAAGTAAGTTATTCCTATACTATTATGATCAAAGCAATTCTTAACTAAAATCATGATGCCACCATATCCATCATATCTATCGTCTCTATATACATAATAATTTTTTATTTTAAAGATAAAACTATTATCTGTCCAGGTTTCATTTAAGAGGACTATGTCTGGTTTGATATCATTAATAAATATATTTAAATTATCATAATTTGCTTTAAGACTTCTGATGTTCCACTGCATAAGTGTGAAACATCCTTGTGCTTTGTTATAATGATTAACTTGAGTCATCATTTCCTATAAATGAATCAACATTTTCTGTTTTTAATTTTGTGATAAAATTAAGAACATGTTCTCTATCTGTTTTGTTTAATTTAGTAGCCATATTCATTATAACCTGGAGAGACTGAGAGTCATCCCTTCCAGGGGTAGTTATATCCCATTCATTATTGGTATAATTTGTGTTACTAAAAATATGTGTTTTCTCTGTATGAATTCTTCCATTAGGATTTAATAAAAATTCATTATGTTCTGAATTTCTTTTCTTTGCGCTCTGATCTGGGGCTGGTCTTTTCTTTGCTTTAACTGCAACACTATATGTATTTGTCTTAACTTGATTGGCCACATATGCTGTTCTGCGTGACTTTACGGGTATGTCTATATCTGAATTTTCCTTAGCTGGCAAGCTGGGAAAATCCAATGGGTGCACATTGAAATTATTGTTATTTTTGACCTTAGGTATCTTCTCTGTTGTCTCAAAAAAAGATATATTTTCTAGAGACATCATCTCTCTTATTTTTTTTTGTCTGGTATACTCTGGACATTGTCTACTTGTACTATTGTGATTATTACTATCACAATGTACACATTTCATAATGCATTTTTGATTAAAATCGTGAATTTCAGCACAATTACTACATTTGTTATTTTTTGTTTTACATAAATTTTTGGTATGCCCATAATTCAAGCATTTGTAGCACTGAATCACTGGCATAATATAAGGCAGAACCCTATGCTCTATTCCACAAATTAAAACACCTCTTGGCAAAGATGTCCCAGTGAAGGTATAGCAAACAGTTCCAGTTGGAACTAAATTTACCACCTCACCACGATCTCCCCTTGCAGGTGTTTCCTCGCTTCCTTGACTATTACTACATGTATCATTATTAATCTTATCTGGCTTTACTTTTATTTTAAATCTCTTCACATTTATAATTTTACAGTTTTTAGTATTTGGTTCTGAGTATTTTAGCAAGACATCATCACTAAATTTCTTGTCAATAAATTGGATTATTCCCTTGCATGTAACATTTTTGTTGGGTATAAATACATCATAACCTTTTTCTTTTAGCAAATTATTTTGAAGAAAGTTATTTGCTGCATTTCTGTTTTTAAATTCCACACTAATTCTATTTATCCCCTTTTTGTGAGTCTTAAAGATATCATTTAGTTGTAAATCAAAGATTTCTCTTGCAATTGCTAAATAATTATAATTTCCAATATTTAACTGATCCTTCCTGGCTTCTATATATACTTCAAATGGCCCCTTATCATATATGTCGTATCTATTTGGAATCTTTATCATATTTATTTTTTTTAACTCTTTAATTTCTTTCTCTACATCTTTCATTTCATTATCGTTTAATATATCTGGGGGCTTCTCGCCCCCAGACGCATCCCCCATTTTTTTTTAGTTTAATACTTATTAAAGAAGGTAACTTACCAAAATTTTCCAAATGTCAACTGTATATTTCTAGCTTTAAGAATTGAATTTGAATCAAAGGATACTTGAAAGTTTTAAAACAAAAGCATGCAATCACCTAACCTATCAAATCAAAAATAATTATAAATTTTTCTTCAAATTTGGCTCTTATTTGACTTCCTTTTTTATATATACTTTCTATACTTTAAGTAAGAAACTTCAAGCTTCAGAAAACTATTATTTGGTTGGTAATTTCACAATATTCTCTCGGAGTCAACAATGTAGACTGTACTCTTCAAAGAAATTTTGACAACCTACAGTTATTTTACATTTGTCTAAACTGTATGTAACCTCTAAAGCAGAAAACATTGACATTTTGGTAAATTTTTAACGTCATCTATTATCCAAGATGAAAAAAAACCCCAAGAATTAGCGAGATTCATTCTCAAATGAATAATGAATATCGGAATATTACACACAAATTAGCTTTCCCTAAAATATACCTAGGACAATACAAATTCTGCAACCAAAAGATTCGTCTACTTCCTCTATTTCTTTTAGATTCAATGTTACCTTTCATAATTAACTTAGTAGTCTGTTTCTTGATCCCCTCAAACATGGCATCAAAGAATATAGAATATGCAGCTGTATTCTTTGATGACATGTCTAAATTTTGCAAGTTTTCGCATTTTAACAGCAAAGAATCTAGACGCATATAGAAAGGCATTTCAAATGGGCGATTTGGTCATGGTTACTATACTTCAAAATACTCCTGAAGAGGACGACTGCCAATTCTTGCCTTTTTCCTCACCCTCCTTTGTTGTATGTCGTATGTCGTCAGTACATATGACGTATAATATATATTAAGTGTACGTCATTGTCAAATCTGTCTGTACGAAAAGCATGGTGGCTGATGAAAAGTCCTATTTTAGAAGCAGTGATGGCGCTGACATGACCATTCCTTAGTAGAACAATAAGGAATTAAATTTCTGCGTATATTTTGGTTCTTTCTAGCAGGACGTTTGCAAGAAACTTGTAGGTGCTATTT